CCAGCCAGCCATCTATGGTCAGAAGGTGAGATCAGGTAAGGGTAAAATAAAGGGCCAAGCCAAGGCAAACACTGCAGGACTGAGTCTATTACTGGACAATATGTTCTGGGCAATCATTCTTGCACTGAAGCCTTGCTGCACAGATCTTATTTCTGTATATGGAGTATTATTTGCTCTTAAGGAAATATCTGTGAATGTTCAAAGGATTTTGCAGATGGGATGTTCCAACCACAAGGTTTTCCCCTGAAAAGCAAGTGAAAATATGTGTATAATTATTAAACCATACTTGTGTAAGCGAATCAAGAAAAGATTTTCTGACAATGACTGTTTTCCATTCTTACTCCAGAAGTAAGAGTAAAATGGTAAGGAATGGGTATAAAATGGAGGGTGGTGTGAGGGTTGTATGTTCATTTAGTCTCTATTCCATATATATAATTACTGAGGTCCTACCTTATGCTGCACAGTGAGTTCTATATTGTATACTCCTGTGTCTAAGTAGTTGCTCAAAATAAACAGCATAAACAAATAAAACAATTTTATAAGGAATTTTCCAATAAATCACTTACTATTCCAATCTAGATCATCTCTATAATATCCTCTCTAACTGTAAGTATTACATTCCATATGAACTGGACTCTCTGCTCCTTAAGACAGATTTTTTAAAACTCCTATCCCTCATCTTTCCTATTTCAAATATCTAACCAGCATAGAGAAGAAGAAAGCACCTAATCATCCTCCAAAATACAACAATAGGTTAACAGACATGGGAACAAGAGAGAAATAAAATGGAAGCAGAGGCATCTTCTAAACCTGTCCTTTTCATGTTGTTTTAGTCACCCCCTGTCTCTGCACCTGGCAACTCTTCTACGCTACACTTAGCACATTGAGTGTATAAACTTTCTACTTACTTAGCTCCTTCTTGCACTAGACCACAGGCTGCTGGAGAGCAAGAACCATTGCCATATCCACTCCTGTAAAGTAAAGCCTGGTCCATAGGAGGCCCACAAATAGTTACCTAGGTCTATAAGCTAGAGAACACATCCAAAGTGTTATTGAGAAAAAAGCTGCCTAAAATGGATTATTAGGAGTTAGAATCAGTGTATAGAAAAGTCAATAAGAAGTAATGGAAGACCCGTCAGTAAGGGAATGCAAGCAAGGGGGAAGGCAGGTTCTGATAATTCCCTGAAACAAGAACTATGCCCTTAACTGACTGTGTGAAGGGAAAAGATAAGAAACATTGGGGTGCTACCACAAAATATAAACAAATGGGATATTAGGTTTGCAGTTTGTTATGGGTTGCACTTTTATATTTATCTTTGTCAATGACATCTCCAGGATTTGAAACTTGAGACTTCTCAACCATCCTCACCAATCCCTCTCCATCATCACCAAGTCCAAGAGTCTCAGTTCTTCTCTGGTTTCTCCTTAACCCTTCCCCAGTATTTTATTCTCATAGCTGCCACTTCTGTTTAGGTCCCCATTATTTTTCACTAGAGTAGTATGCTCCTAATTCAATTCTCTATTTCCTGTCCTTTAAAAACTGTTCTCTGGTCTAAAGCTATCTTTCTAAATTTTGGTTCTGATTATATAACTTCCTGATTCAATAACCTTCAGTGGCCTTCTGTTTGTAAAGGTCTCTAGAATAAAACTCTAAGTCATTATTACCACAGTATAAATAACATCACAGAGTGAAAGTGCATGGGCAATGGGGTCAAATAGAACCAACTTTTGAAAACTGCATCTACCAGTTACCAGCAATGTGACTACATGAGTCACTTTCACCTCTCTAAGGTTCAGATTTCCAGACAAAAGGAATGGTAACTAAGAAGACTAAAAAAGAATGTGCCTAGTCTAGTGCTGGGTAGATAAAAGGGGCTCTACATCTTTCCTCCCACTTTCCCACCCAGACCAGAATTTCAGCCTTGATGATACCTTTACCCAGCTCTAGACATTGTGCTCCATGATGCTGTCCTTTGCACTCCTACAAAATCTTTGATCACAGTTCAAACATCACTTACCTTATTCTGCTTGTGTCTTATATACTACAAGCACATTTAGGTATAATTATTATTTTGAGCAATTAGTCCTTTTTCCCCTTCTAGGTTGAAAAAAACTCAAGTTGAAGATTTGATCTTGTTCATCTTCTCTCTTATAACATCGAACATTACACGTAATAGGAGCACGATAAACGTCTACTAGTTGAATTGTATACTTTTACATGATTTACCCAAGTTTTAAAACAAAAATATCCTTTTGCTTTAAGAATTAAAAAAGAAGGGGCGCCTGGGTGGCTCAGTTGGTTGAGCGACTGCCTTCAGCTCAAGTTATGATCCCAGGGTCCTGGGATTGAGCCCCACTATGGGCTCCCTGCTTGATGGGGAGCCTGCTTCTTTCTCTGCTGCTCTGCCTGCTTGTGCTCTCTCGCTCTGTCAAATAAATAAATAAATATCTTTAAAAGACAAAAAGAATTAAAAGAGAAGCAGAACAAAGAATTACCATCTTGGGCCTTGAAATACAGCCACTGTTCCCTAAATTAAGTTGATTATTTGCGTGTCACAGACTGAACACCTACCATGGTGAAGGCAGTCTTTAAAAATAAAGGTTTTCAGTCAAAAAAGACTTGAGCAAAAAATGAAGATAGTAATAGCCACTCAAATCCATCAATATTATTGAAAAAAAAAAACGCCCAAAGATTAGCTTTAATATTATCGAACAGCAAAGTTATTCTGATCTACAATATGAGTATTAATTTGAATAGGTTCGTGTTTTCTGTTTCCACAGAAATTAAAACCTGAAATGAGCTTAAATTGCATGCAGAAATGTATAATGACTTTTAGGATGCTTTAGCTGAACTGAATCGAATGAAAAAAAAAATTATATTTCCTATTTTTGGTAAATAATATAAAGATGTAAAAGCATATCAAAAATTAATAGAGTGATACTGCATATGTCTAAAGTCTTTCTCTTGAAAGTAGAATAACCCAAAGTCCAACTGTTATGAGAGGACAGAGGTTATTACTACTGTAAATTTTAAGTGTCGCCACCAACTTTTTTAAAATACGTGTCAACATGGTTAAGCTCGTGAATTCTCGTCAGGGAGACCCCGGTTGAATCTCTGAAAGCTTTAGGTTTTGACCGAGTGGACGTAATCGCCGTCTGACTGAAGGCTCGGTCCGTGGTAGAGGTAACGATCATCAGCACGACCGCGCACGTTTACTTAGTTGTGACTGCTTAGACCGATGATATATTTTATATCGCCAATACATATATTCTGTGTGTGCGTACGATATAACACTGCGTATTACAGCGGCGACGTGTAGAACTCTCGAGAGGCCGCCTTTCACAGACCTTGGCAAAGAACCCGTCCTTCCAAGACGGTCCCAAGGCTACGGCTGAGCGGCCACAGCCGCTCCCGGCGCGCCGCCCCGCGCTCACCCTCTCCCGCGCGCGGCCGCCCCGTCGCCGACCGGCTCCCGAGGCTGTCGCGGCGGCCGGGCAGTGCTCAGCCGCGAGGGGCCCGCGGCAGCCGCGAGGGGCGCCGGCCTGCGCCGGGGCCCAGACTGGGCGGCTCGGCGGGTCCTAGCCAAGTCGCCCGCGCTGCCCCGCCCGCCGGCCGGAATGAGTGACGGCGACAACAGGTGCGAGCGCGGAGTCCGAGGCTGCTCGGGAGTCCCCGAGTTTGGCGCGTCAGGCCCGGGGGGGCAGAGTTTGCCTCTGGAAGCCGCCCTCCTCGCCCCGCACCAGCCTCGCGAAGTCGCCCCTCGGCCGGCCTCGTGCTCCTTAGTAAAGCCTGGGGTCACGTCACCCACCAGTCCCAGCCGCCGACTTTCCCCCAAAGGGGAGAAGAGAGGGAGGCGCGCAGTGCATGGTGCTTTGCATAACCGTCCGCGTTCTCCTCCCCAGCCGTCCGAAGGCGGGCGACAGTGGCCCCTGAGCCGAGCCCTCGTCCGCACACCCCACGCCCACCCCGACTTGCCGCACGCTCTTCCCCTCAGACGGCCCAGCTCGGCGACGCCGGCCACAGCCGAAACCGCCCGCCCGCGTCGCTCCCCGGCTTGCGGCGCCCGCCCGCCTCGCCGCCTGAGGCGACGTCGCTGCTCCTCCCCACCCCCCCGGGTGGCGGGTTCAGGCCCCGGGTCCGAGCCTGCGCCCCTGCAGCTGCTAGTGCCGCCGTCGCCGCCAGGGGGAGTGTCTGTCGGGAAACGTGGTGTTGCTGCCGTGGTGTGAAGGTGCTTTCAGACTTCGGGTTTCCGTTCCTTGCCCTGGCTTTTTGAAGCGCGTGGAGGAAGATGGAGACCGAGTCCGGGCCGGTGAGTACAGCAGGCAGGGCCTCCGGCCCCGGGCTGGCGCGGGTAAGGAGCAACGCGGACTCTGGTCCTGAGGGGCTGAAGACTGAGGTCGAGGGCCCAGACGCCCACTATTTTGTCGGGAAGAAACGCGGACAGGACGCCCCGTCGACCACCGCGAAGAGCGGTCCGCCTGCAGGCCCCGTCCGGTCGTGTCGTGGGGTCGGGAAGGCGGGACCGCCGGGCCTGGGCCGGGTGTAGGCTGGCCGGGGGACCTCCGAAAAGGCCGGGGGGCTTCGGGAGGCGGCGGGCGGCCGGGTCCCGTGCAGCAGGCGGCGCTGGGCCGGAGCAACAGCTTTCCCGCCCAAACTGGGCTGCGCGGCGTCTTCGACGCTCGCTGCGGCGGGACTCCCCCAGCCGCCCACCGCGAGGGGTTGCCAGGGCGGCGGACGCCGCGTCTCGGTGGAGACCGGAAGGCCTGAGAGACCTGGGGGGAGGGGAGGGGCACCGTGGCCCACGACCGACCCAGACACTCCAACACCCTGTGCGCGCTGGAGCCCCTCAGGGCCCCGTGGGGGGCAGGCGGAGGGGGCGGGGAGCCAGTAAGGCCTGAGGGGCCTAAGCCTCCGAGGCAGGCGGGGCGCCAGGCGCCGCGGTGCCCCACCCCACCCGGCCAGCAGCCAATCAGCACGCGCCACGTGCGGCCGAGGGGTTGCCAGCGCTCGAGGCCGACGCCGGGCCGGTGCCGTTGAGGGTTCCCGCCACTGCTGCTGGCGGGCTTGCGGGACAAAATTTCTCGCTGGCTGGCTTTCTTTTCCCTCCCGCACTTTGGTGGGGAGGGGGTGGATCCTTGTGTCAGTGCCCAAGTTCACGATGACCCGCGAGAACCCGAGGAAGTTGTCGCCGCGGCCATATCCCCCAGCGCCTCGGCTTGCTGGCCTCGGAGGGGACGGAGCGCCGAGGCTGTGACCGCGACGGTTAGCCCGCCCTCTTCCTGTTGTCTTCGTTGGCAAAGTGGATGATAGATTCCGAGGTTAATGCTCAAGGGAAGAAGTCAGTAAGGGCACATTTCTTTAGGGGGAAATTCTTAATATTTAGCGTTGGAAGTTTTGCTAAGCCAAGATCCCTTACTTCTAACCAAATAACGGCACCTACCTAAGTGCTTGCCATACACTTGCAAAAATTATTGCCAGTGGAATCTGAGGCTTTCTTTGTTGTTCAACTCCATGCATCGCTAGCCTTCTCGAAGGAATTCAGATGTTGCTTCTGCTTGAACCCTGTTGCCTAGAAAAAAATTTCTAGGCTATTTTAATGGCATGTTCTTAAACCTCAGCCTAATGATTGGGATATCATGAGCAGGAAGAAATGATTCATTCGTTTATTCATTTGTTCCACAAATCTTAATTGAACACCTCCTACGTACCGGCTTTACTTCAGACGCTGAGTGAGCAAAATAGAATCCCTTCCCATATGAACATTGCACTACCGTGGAAAGTGATAGACAATAAACACAAGTAAATTATATAGCATGTTGGAAAGTGATAAGTGATAAGAAAAATGAGGCAGTTGGAACTCACAGTACAGCAGGAGTCTTAGAAACTGGAGAATGAAGTGAATAGGCTGGAAAAGTTGATGTTTTTTTCTTTCTGGGTATCATTTAACTAGTTTCTCAATGTAGGAAATAAAGCACCCTTTTCACTTCTGTTCATGTCATCTCTCTCAAGGAAAAAATAATGGAATTAACTTTAAACAAATTGGAAAACAAGTTCGTATGTTGAACTCATTTTGTTTTTAAGAATAAAATTTCATAAAGTGATTTTTTTTAAATTTTGCAAATAGATAATTTCTACACCCTCTAAACAGAGACAAGATTATATCTACTAGAGCTGTGCTATTATCTCTAGCAATGCAAATACCTGGTAGAAAAATAAAACTAAGCATCCCCAGATCATCCATCCTTTGCACTACAGAGTCATTCCCTAGAGAACATGCTGTTATGATTGGATTCCAGTTTCTTTAAATGGAAACTACAACATAGCAATTATTAAATGGGACAACTTTTTTGTGGTTTAATAAGTGTCTTTATGAACTCCCCTATTAGGGAATATGTGTTGTTTGTCCCTCCCTTAATACTAGATGCAGAATAGAACCCAATAAGGTCCAGCCTACAGCCCCATAATCACTACTGGCCTAGTCATTTCTCAGTATATCTTGAAGAGATTAGGGGTTATGGTTTTATTGGCCAATGAAGTGAGAGAGGAGAGCAAATATGAAAAAGAACAACTCCTTTACCTAAGTTAGAGATTAATTTTCTTGTATTTGTTTCTTAGAGAATTGATATTACGAACTGCAAGCTTTTTGAAGCTCTCATTTAGTATGTTAGACTGTCTCAGAAGTCTGTTAAGTGTTCCCAAAAGGAGAGTAATTAGCAAGTGCTTAAATTGGTTTCTCTTCAAAATCCTATTCTCAAGTCTTGTTTCTTTTTTTTCAGATATACATTAAGAGTCTACCATCTTGCCACTGTACAAAGGCTTACATGTGTATATTTATTAAAATCTAAATTAGGCCCCCAACTTAGCATTGTGAACATATATGTACTGTGCTCAGTTCTTTTTTTTTAAAGATCTAATTTATTTATTTGATAGAGAGATCACAAGTGGACAGAGAGGCGGGCAGAGAGTGAGGGGGAAGCAGGCTTCCCCCCGAGCAGAAAGCCCAGTGTGGGGTTCGATCCCAGGAACCTGAGATCATGACCTGAGCCGAAGGCACTGAGCCACCTAGGCACCCCTGAGCTCAGCTCTTCAGTATACAGATTTATACCTAGGAGTTGTAGGTATATACTTTTTTTTTTTTTACAAAATCAGTTTGATCTTCAAATTTAAAAATGTGACTTTAGAGCCAAATATGGCGAACTTGAATGTCAGAGTTTATTGACTCATCAGTGCCCTTTAGCCAAAGACTACCAGGAACATACCTGTAGTTAAGTAATGTTGGGTCTATTGAACTGTTGACACAAGGAAGAGCATACATCATGGAGCCTCTAAGTAAGAGGATGTTAGAAAAGAATTTACTATGGGGTTTAGGCATGTGTTAAGCTGTTTTTAGAGAATATTTAAGGAAGAAGGGCTTTACTCTGAAGTACATGTTGTCAGAAAGTGGGAGTAATTCTATGATTGGGTATGTTAATTTTTATTTAGAAGGTTAAGAAAAATAGATGGAGGCCAAATCTGTGATTGATAAAGAAGGAGCAGTTACACATATCAGCCAGGATAGAAGGATGTTTGGTCATTTTTGTGGTTTGGACAATGCTTTTGTTTTTGTCAGGGTTCAGATATGATTAAGGAATGGTATATTTTTTATGGTGATCCATCACAATCACAGAGTAACTTTGCCTAATGTCTGTTAAGAAGAGAACGCCACAACCTTACTGTGAGTTCCAGGCCAACTCCTACCACCACCAGAACCAAGCCAGTCCCCAGATGTCTTGGGCTGCTTTTCTCTTTCTCAAACTTCTTTTTGAAATTAATATTCCTCAACATTTATAATACTTAAATAGTATATTTAATAACAACATGAGTATATTTAAATAATATATTTTAATATTTAAGATTTTCTCTGTAGTGGAACAGATTCCGTTTCCCATATTTTTGTTGCTCCAAAAAGTATTAGTTCTAATAACTATAATCTTTGTAATATTAGCATAAAATTAAAGTCTAAAATATTGCATTTTGCTTAAATGACTCATCTTTTTGATGGATATATGTTTTCAGTCTGCATCAAAACTTACACCCAATGCTAAAAGTTTAAAAGAATTTTATTTTACAGCAAACATCAAATCAGACGCAAACAGATTCATTATCTCCATCCCCTAATCCTGTGTCACCTGTGCCTTTGAATAACCCAACAAGTGCCCCAAGATATGGAACAGTGATCCCTAATCGCATCTTTGTAGGAGGAATTGACTTTAAGGTACCTATTTATGCATGCAATGTAGTGTATTTTTTGTACTAGAAGTTACTTTATTTCTCAGACATACTTGGTACAACTGCAAAAATAATCTTATTTACTAATTGCATAATGATTACTAGGTTTCACTTTGTCTTACTATAAAGAATCTTTTCAATAACAATGTAGGTTGAATAGAACATATGTAATTGTCCAATTTCACATACAAGGAAATTGAGGCTCATTGACATATCTGTAGGCTCCTAGCTTCTTAGTGACAGAGTGAAGACTAGAATCACAGTATTCCAACTCATAGTTTCATATTCTTTATTTCACCGTACCATACTAATTATATTTTATTACATAGTACTCCAATAGACCAAATAATGCATGACTATAATTGAAAAAAAAGATTCAATATTTTTAAAAAACCACAAAATTTAGTCCTATGAAATCCTGTTTCTTTATCTCAATTTTATTCTCAGTTTCCTGCTAAGTAATCTCCTGAACTTACATCTTTTACAAATTGCTTTCTGACACCTAATTCAGAATTTGGTCACCAGTAAAAGACCTGTGACCTTGTCAGAATAAAGCATCTTAGCATTAATATATTTTAATTATGTAATCGGCCATTTCACTGTTTCAGAGAGGCTTAGTTTGTTGTTGTTGTTGTTGTTGTTGTTAGGTGTTTTGCAGCACTATTTGGGAGGTAGTAGTAAACGCCTATGGGAAAGGCCTGCATGGCTATTGTAAGTAGAATATCCTTATTTCCAAGTGGATATATAGAAGCATTTCCAAGCTTCCACTTTATATGCTGGAAATTACAGGCATAGTTGTTTTTCCTAATTTAAAAAAATCCTTGTGCCATTAGGGTATGAAATTTATTACTATTTCCCTGTAATCAGCCTTTTACAATTTGGATGAAATTATTTTTTTTCTGCTCCAGAGAAATATTATACTTACTGTATTTGTCAGAATAATGATTATTAAGCGAGTATGTGATTGGTTCACTAAAAATAAAGAAAAATTATTTCTAATGAAATGTTTATTTTTTAAAAGATTTTTTGTTTCTGTGGAAAATAGTAAAGGCTGACCATAAATACTCAAGTTGACTATTCATGTTCAGAATTAATTTATGTTACAAACAGTATATTTTTTAAATAAATCCTCAATAAGTGGAAGCATTTGTATGACTAGATTATTCTAGGTTTCTGAATTCTGTCAACTACATTATGAACTTTGGAGGCCATTGTTAAAGTGCAGTTATAGTTTACAGGTAATTGCTGGGGTTCCCTCCCTGGTACTTACTCCTTTTCCCAAACCAGACAGTTGCCAACAAGGAAATAGTTTACTGTAGTAGGAAGCTGTGTCAAACTTTTTAAAATTATTCTTTTTAGAAGCTTATAGCCCATCTCTCTTCATACTTAATCATCTTAACTTTCTGTCTCCTTATTTTTCAACTAAGAAATAGAGTCGCAAAATTGAACTTGTGATTCTTCTATCAGAGAACAGTTTGAATTAATTTGCATTCAAATCTCTAATAAAAATTCTTGTTCTGGCATTGATTCCATTTTCAGTTTATTGAAATAAGAGATATTTATTATTCTTAGATTAACTCGGGATTTGTTATCATCCAGTTTAGCAGCTTTAGGTTATCAACTAAGCTGCTAATGTATGTAAGTAGTGAGGTAGCAGAGGAACTCAAGAGGCATAGCCCTACTATTGGGCATGTCTTTTTCTGTGTATCTAAAGAAAATTTTTTTCTAGAGATATTTAAAGTTCCCCATGACATAGTTATACCTGAGCCAGAAAATGAAACTGCAGTGAATTTAGTGTGACTACTCTAGGAAGAGGTGATATGAGTCTATTAAGAGACTATTTCAGTTAAAACTATCTTTGTAACTATCTTGTCTATAACTATAACTATAGTCTAATAATGACTCAGATTTTTATTTTGAATGACTCAGATTTTATTTTATTTTGAATCATAATGTCATTATTTAGCCAAAATGTATTTTGAGTACAGATAAACTATCTAAAAACTTTAAATCTTGTAGTCACTTCATTGGTATCACAAACTGAGTTCAAGTACTTTTGGAAATATATTCCTTTCCTAAGACCTTATTCTCATGGAGACAGCTGATTAAAATAGAGGGACTGGTACCTACCAACATCCTAGTTCCACTGCCATAATCGTGAGCCTCTCTGGGCCAAAAGAACCAATAGTACTATGCCATTGCTATAGGTTACAGCCGTGTCTAATTTAAATTATTTTTTAAACTGACCAAAAAGAATTTATTTAAATATTAGTGTACTTTCTTTGTAGTTATAAAGTAATTCAGCTTAAAAATTTTTTATTGATTGAATAGTTTTAACAACATGATTACTGCATAAAGCAATGTATTTACATTGATTCTAAGAACTTAGTGGTTTGTGTACTATTTTAATGCTAAGAGACATTCTTATATTCATATTACTATTTGCTTATAATCTTTTCTGTCTCCAAAACAAGCATAAGACTTGTTTCATTTTTTAGCAATTAAAAATATTTTTTGTGTGTTTCTTTTATGCCATTAGACAAATGAAAATGATTTAAGAAAATTTTTTTCCCAGTATGGGTCTGTAAAAGAAGTGAAGATTGTAAATGACAGAGCTGGAGTGTCCAAAGGGTTAGTATCACTATAGAAAGTATTAACAATTGTGTTTTATTGGATTACTAGGTTTTATATGCTAACTTACTTTGATTCCATTTTTTAAAAAGAGAAATTTCATACCCTCTTCTTTTCTTCTTACCTTTAATCTTCCATTTCGTGTGGGTGTGTGTATTTTGGAGGAAGGGGTAACATAGTAACATTCCTTAATTTGTTGGGAAGATATTCTTGCATGGGCTGAGGGGCCATTCAATGTTAGGTAGCAAGCATTTAATGTTGAGTAATGTACAGCAGCTAAGGAACCAGAAGCTAAAGAAATCAGATACTTTTAGAATTGTATGCTTGCTTTAAACCAGAGAAAGCTTTATTTGAAAAAAGCTGACACAAAGGAATATCTAGGTTTTGCCTCAGATACCTAGAGAACTAACCTGAGAAATACAATTTTAATGAGAATGATTTTTAATTGCCAAATGAAAGAGAATGAAAACTGGGAAGAAATCAGTAGGATTTATCTAAAAATCACTAATGACCTTAGAGCAGTTTCAGTGGCTTGTTATAAGCAAAAGCCAAATTTCAGAGAAGAAAGAGATAGTTTACATAGTGTACTCAAGAAGTTTGACAACAAAGTTAAAATGAGTAAGACAGTGGAGATCAGTGAAGGACTGTGTTTGTTTTCTTGAAGGAGAGGCAGGACATACGTGAATAGACATAAGAGAAAGGACCAGTGAGGTGGATAGAAAATTATCCTAGTGGAAAACCTCATTTAAGTATGTCAGATAAGCACTTTGGAAGAGATGGGATTCTGCAGAAAGGTTATTTTTAAGCAATTGAGATACTTCCTCAGACTGACAAACAGTATTAGGATGAAGTGAGATTGTACCTCTTGTATATGGTTAATAGAATTCTCAGTATTTTGGTAATATCCTTTTTTTAACCATTGAAAAACACATACAGATGTAAACTGTATTTTATGCTTTTTCCACTGGGTGGTGTATGTGTTCTACCAAAAAAATTAGCATAAAAATATTAGCCCTTGTTCAATGTTTGGGCACATAGAAGAAGAAATTCCTTTGTTAAAAAAAATAAACTTTTTATACAACAGAGTAATTATGAATCAAAATAGTAGTCAAGATATTTAACACTACTCTAGTTTCCTTAAGTTATCTAAATTGAAATTATGCTGAGGGGATATACCTTTTATTTCTTTCATATCTTTTTGTCTACTTTGGCTTTTTGGATGTTGCATACATAACGTATTTGTATCTTGAACATTATACGAATTGTACTCTGAAGGTAACAATTATATATGAAAAGCAGATATAAAATCTAGGATGTACACATTTTTAATTGATTTATATTTGAAAAACACTAATAATTGCATTATCAGTTTATATGTGCTAATAATAAATAATGTATCTGTATACTCATTTTCCCATATAAAAATTTTTATGTGTTGAAATTTTTATTTTTTTTAAGTTTTTTTCCTACTCTGATTCCTATTTAAGCTAAACTTCTATTATTTTAAAAGGGATTATTACTCTGTACTAAAATTTATTATATCCTAATTTGTAAGCTAGAACATGAATCCTTCATACTTTCCCGCTTTGTATATAGCTCGGATCTGAAACTGTTTTAAGATCCTGGGTTTGTTTGTTTTTTTTTTTTCCTCTTAGTGCCCCGACTTTGGGAAGAGGTGACAGTGTTATGCTCTGAAGGATTCTCTTAAATTTTGCATGATGGTGCCCCATAGAAAACCACTCATTCCTACAGTGGCCCATTCTTAAAAAGAAATTTAATTTTAATATAACTCTAATATAATGTTCTAAGAAAATAATTAATATATTTATTTAGGTATGGTTTCATCACTTTTGAAACACAAGAAGATGCACAAAAAATTTTACAAGAGGTGAGATTTTTTTGATGTATTTAACTTCGTTTTTTGGAACTTCTTTGAAACTAATCCTTTAGGATATTTTTTTATTATTAGCATTCCAATACAATGATTAATTGCTAGAAAAATATTTTTAACTTATTTGCATTTCAAGATTGACATTGGTCCCCAAAAAAATTGAATAAAAAAGGATTAAACAGAGGCTCCTGACTGACTCAGTTGGTAGAGTGTGCAACTGTTGATCTTGGGGTTGTAGGTTTGAGCCCCACATTGGGTGTAGAGATTACTTAAAAATTAAATCTTTTTTTTTAAAGATTAAACAGAAATTTTATCTACAGAAAAACATTCCAAATCATTGCATGAGTATGTTTGCAAAGTTATAATATAATTTTTTACTTTATTTGCTTACTAAGAACTTGGGAATATATGTTTTCTGAAGTGTTAATAGCACTTTGAATTCCTAAAAACACAACAAACATGGATTCCTAGAGTGAAATTATCTGAGATTATTTCCCTCCTTTCTGAAAAACTTACATAAGCTAAGAAAAAATCTATAGCCTGCAGTTCAGTGTAATAACTTTAAATCTGACAAATGTTACATTTTATTTTTTAGGAAAAAGTAGAGTTTGAATTGTACATCAGTAAATCACATGCAGCTGATCCTCATTATTTTTAATAGTTATGTTTTATAAAGTCACCATGAACATTCAGTTAGCAAATACTGGACTGTTCTTCCTAGAAGAAATACAAAGTTCCCACTAGTTTCTGTTTACATTAACCAGCCAACCAATCAATACATAACTTTGTTTTGTGTGTGTTTCTGTTTAAAGACATCATGTTAAATATATATTGTTGATTCATTAACATTGAACTCCTGGCCAACAGCACTGTAACTCATGTCTGAATTAAGCCCATCTAAAACATTTTCTCAATAAGGCAAATGACAGTCTTCTTGTGCTTAGGAACTTAGCCAGAACTTTAACAGTACACTTGAAGGCCATTTTAAATAGCAAAATTTAAAAAAAAAAAAAAAAAAAAAAAAGATAGCAAAATCGCCGACATAAAATACAAAAATACTGGCACTAAAATTTGGCACTAAACAACATGAAACAGACTCTTTTTTAAGAGCTGAGACAAGAAGACAGAGTGTTGCCTTATTTGACCTCAGCCTGGGACTGTGTATGTCAGGCACTTCAAAATTTTCACCTCACTGCTCATGTCCACTAGTAACTGCTTAAATTGCCACAATTTTGCTTTTGGGGTTACAAATAACTTTAATGAATAGGTGAATTCCCAAATATGGGATCTATGAATAGAGGATTGACTGTATTCCAATTAAAGAACTGGGGTCAGACCATTGGAACCAAAATTCAAATCCAGATCTTTAAATATCCAAAGACTTTGCCCTTTCCAATATTCTGGCTGCTTTCAAAAAATGTTATAGTCTGAATTTTAAAAATTGTTTCTCACTAATTTTTCATTATTGGTTTTGTAAAATAGTAGTACCAAGATAATAAAATAATTTTTTTCTTATTTTAGGCTGAAAAACTTAATTATAAGGATAAGAAACTGAACATTGGTCCAGCAATAAGAAAACAACAAGTAGGAATCCCTCGTATGTATTGAGAACTAATGTATTTTTCAGTGTTTTTGCGTGGTTCTTTTTTGAAATATTACTTTTTTTAAGAACTTAATTAAAATATCAAAATATCATGCTTCTTTCATTTAATAAAGTTATTTTAGCAAAGTTGGTGATCAAATGAATATTTCTTACCAAAATTAATATATGTTAGATTTGGGGGGGCAGGGAAATTTTACACAAATAATGGTGTTTACATATATTGCATATAGTTAAATCTTTAAAGGAAAACTCTTTTACATAAAAATACAATTTAAAATTGCAAAGGTAATTAGAATTATTTTGGTACTATTAATTAGAAATTTTTCTAATTAGAAAAGTAATTTAAAATTGGAAATTGAAGAGGGGTGCCTGGGTGGCTCAGTGGGTTAAGCCTCTGCCTTCAGCTCAGGTCATGATCTCAGGGTCCTAGGATCTTGCCCTGCAGCAGGCTCTCTGCTCAGCAGGGAGCCTGCTTCCCCTCTTCTTTCCCCCTGCCTCTGCCTACTTGTGATCTGTCTCTTTCTGTCAAAGAAATAAAATCTTTAAAATAAATAAATAAATAAATAAAATTAGAAATTGAAGATACTGAAAGTAAGAATATAGAACCAATATCAGAAACTCTAGTTGCAATGGTAGGTACTATAGCCCAACTAGATATGTTATAATTATGAAGGAACAATTCCTAAAGCTTTAAGAATTAGCAAAGTTGTGCCTTCCTCAAATTTCTGTAATGCTGTCCACTCTACTCTTCTTTTTTTCTCACTCTTCCTCTATTATATTAGGCATCTTTACAGTTAGCTTTTACCTAAAGATTTACTGAACTCTATAGTAGTCTTTAACTGGAAGGAGATACCTAAAATTAGTAACTGAATTTTCTTATTCTTCCTTAACTGTGCCCTACTGTCTGTTGGGATGTTTAAAACATTATGTTGTTATTGTATACCTGTTAACAAATTAATAGTTGTGCTCCTTTGGACTGTTCTATTTTTGACTGAGAAATTAACAGTTATGGGGTACCTGGATGGCTCAGTTGGTTTAAGTGATTGCGTTTGGCTCAGGTTATGATCTCAGGGTCCTGGGATCAAGTCCTGCATTGGACTTTTCCACTCCCCCTGCTTGTGCCGGCTCTCTCTCTCTCTCCCTCTCTGTCTCTCTGTCAAATAAATAAAATCTTTAAAAGAGTTTAATTTTGACTTAGTTATTTGTTAATTTAGAAGATAACTGAAGAGTGCCCTAAATAGGTTAATACTTACTAGTTCCAAGAGTTAAGCTGTAACATGTAGTAATAGTTCTATATTATCAGCGGTAGGTATAAGTAGTAATGTGCATATTATGTCCCATAAATTGCTTTAAAGAAAAAAAATAAATCACCATGCTGAATGCTTTCAAATAGTAAATTTGAGAAGTATAGGGTTAGTAACTTAACCAAATAGTTGCGTTAGCCTTCAAATCCAGGACAAGTTGACTCCAAAGCTCTTTATACTTTTCTGCAAATAAATTTTAAGTATAAAAGTAGACTTATAAAATATGGGGGATTTTTATCTCAATTTTTTCTCAAATCTATAGCTTGTTTCATCTCTATTATCAATATTCTAGTCCTAGCTACCCACCTCACTTGCCTTGATTACTGGAAGAACATCCTAACAGGTCTTTCTGAATCCACTTTTTGTACCTTCTGACCCATCATATACAAGGCAGCCAGAGTGATCTTTCAAAAGTGTATATTTCATATTATTCTTAGCTTATTTTGAGCTCTTCTTTCCTTTTTTTCCTATACGTTAGCCATCTAGCTTTCTTTCAGTTCCAGAACATACCATACTCCTGATATACATTATTTTCTTTGCCTAGAACACTCTTTGCCATCCCAATCTTTTTTTTTTTTTTTTTTTAAGATTAGGTGTGGAGCCCAATGTGGGTTTGAACTTATTGTGATCCTGGGATCAAGACCTGAGCTGAGATCAACAGTCAGACACTTACCCAACTCAGCCTCCTCGGTGCATCCCAATCATTCTTTAAAGTTCAGCCCAAACATCATTTCTTCACAAATTAAATATAATTAGAAAGTTCATACTACCCCGTGTAATACCCTATACTACCTCTTAATGTATTTATCAAAATTGTATTTAATTAATTAATTGTGTAATAAGCTAATAACTATTTTCTCCACCAGAAGGTAACTTTCATATGACAGGTCCAATTTTTTTTTTTCTTTTTGGCTGTATCACCAGCCAAGTTCAATGCCTTGTAATAGTACTGTCTCAAATTTTATTTATTTATGTAACAGGTAAACCTGTGGTTCCTTGAGTATCTTAAAGGGAAATCCATGAACCTCCTGAATTTGTGCAAAAAAAATTTTAAAGTGTATATCCCTGAGAAAAGGATGCATGATTTTCATCAGATTCTCAAAAGGATGAGATTAAGAATCACTAAAATAAGTAGTAACAATACAGATGAAATATAGTGAAAATATAAAAGCTCAGAAGCGGTAGTGTTGCTTAAAGTGGTAGGTCAGTGCTCCTCACGATGTGGTTTGCAGCCAGTAACAGTTCAGTTGGAATGTCTCAAAATGCAGATCCTCAAGCCCTATCCCAGACTTATTGAATCTAAATCTCTGCTAATGTGGCCCTGGAATTTGTATCCTAATAAACTATCTAGGTGATTCTAATGTACGTTAAAATTTGAGAATTACTGGTATAATGGAAGGAGGATTGCCAGTTCCAGTAATTTACATAAATTTGCTGGTCAAGTACTTAATCTGACTTGGCTTATATAAATTTTTCAAGTGTTCTCTTGACAAAAAAATATTTCTTTTATTTTGGGGGAGGAAGGGTTTATATATAACTTGATCTGATAAAAGAGATGGGGACCCAGAACTACACACGAAGACTTGTGGTCAGGTTTGCAATAAGCAGCAGTTGTAGCAAAGGGAGGCTGGAGAGTAAGAGTCATAGCCTCAATGAATGCTTGTGGTAACAGAACCAAAGAATTTGTAGGATGGAACCAAAATATCTTCAGGAAAGTATGGAATCTTTTCCAACTTCACTGCCTTCATCATCTTTGGCCTTTTACAAATAAAGGTCTTAACTAAGGTCTTAGGTCTTATGACCTTGCTGATAATAATTTAAATTTTTAAGCCTTGTGTTTGATCACATTGTTATTAAAATCTAAATTGGTGAGTTTTTAGTATTCTTTATTGAATTTATTTCTTTTTCCTCACTTTAAGCTAATAAAAGTTCTAAGTTTGAAAATATATACTTCAAAAATATTTCAACATTTGGAATTTTTTAAATTTGCAACATTCAATTTTTACTGTAATTGTATCAAGTGTTCAGAAATTACTTTTTTAAAAGTTAAACTGAACATTTTAATTATTATTATTTAATCTTTACTTTAGGTTCCAGTATAATGCCAGCAGCTGGAACAATGTATCTAACGACTTCAACTGGATATCCTTACACATATCATAATGGTGTTGCTTATTTTCATACTCCAGAGGTAGCCTCTGTCCCACCACCTTGGCCTGTAAGTAATTTTCATCTTAAAAGGGTTTCCATCTATTCTATCAATTTTTAAAAACATTTATTTCTGAAATATTTCAACCATAGACAAGTATGAATAATAATTAACAGCCATGTAGCTACCACTTAAATTTAATAAATCTTAACATTTTGCCATATTTATGTAAGTTCTTTTAATAAGGAGAAATGAAATATGAGAAATTCAGGTATAGTCTCCTTGCCCCCATTTTATTACCCTCCTTTTCTCCTCAGACATATTTGGAATATATAACCATAATATCTTTCCTATCATTTTATGTTTTTACTACAAATGTAGGCATCCTTAAACAATAGGTAGTATTGCTTTGGGTGATTTTCTTAACACTATGTAAATAACCAGTTTTTCTATTCAACATTATGTTTTTGAGATTAAACAATGTTGTTACTAGTATATCTAATTCACTTATTTTAATATTTTATAATATTCCATATTATAAGTATATATTCCCCTATTGATGGATGTTTTAACTTTTTTCTATAATCAAGGTCACAGTGAACATCCAGATCTTGTATGTACTATGTAAGAGTTTGTCTAGGAAAGTAGTCTTCAAAGTTTTTTGCTTGTATATCCTCTAAAAATTTTCTGGAAAATTATGAATACATATTTTTAAGTTAACATCTGAAATTTATCATAATTTTAAATAATTTAGGAATACAACATATTATGTATGCTATCTACATAAAACTAATATAAGGGTATATGTCAGTTATACCTCAAAAAAAAAAAGGATGGAAAACGTCTAGAACTCTGTTAACAAAACTAGTCAGTCAAATAAAACTTCATTTCTATTAGAAAATTCTAACTTTTAATTATTTTTAAGCTCAAATAAATGAGTTAATATGTATTCTTATAACCATCATATAATTTATTTTGTTCTCTGGATAAAATAAAGGACCATCTCCCCTTTAATATTTCTTATAAAAGCTCTTTTTGCTTTGCTTCTCTCACTTCTCAAGGGCATTGCTTACTTGAATTATCTATTTGTTTGATGCCCTTTTGGTATTTATATTCCCAAACAAAACATCATAATAGATCTAGAATGAGTGAGAAGTGTGCCTTTCATCATGAAGGAGAATGGTAATTGTGAAAGGGCGTTATGAAAAGAAAACAGACACATGGTACAGAGACACAGTCACAGACGTATCAAATCAGGAAGGAGTACATATGAAATTTAGAATCTAAAAATTAATACTCCGAAACCTATTCATGCCCATTTACCACTGGAAAAATTATGTATTCTCCTCCCGTGGTCTAGGCTGCAATATATGCAGAGAAGTAAAATTTCACATTATAGAATATGCACATCTTTGATTAATGTTGCCAAATGACTTTCCAAAGTATACCAGTTTATACATTAGCTAACAGTTTATGAGAGCTACAATTTCTCCATAACCTGCCAATCCTTTAATTTTCAATTTCTGCCAATATTATTATGAAATAGTATTTTGGTTTTTTATCTTCCTAGTCATTGGTAAGATTGAACATAATTCGGGTATTTATTGGCATTCCACTTTTCTTCTGTGAGGTGCCTCTTCATATCCTTTATCTTTTCTATTGGGGTTATTTGTCTTTTTCTTGAGTTCATTATATGAATTTTGTGAGTTCTTCTGGTGTGTGGTTTGTCCATTAACTTTACAGGGTTTTTTGTTATACACTAATTCTTTGTTTTAATGTTAACATATGTATTAATGTTTTCCTTTATGGAAGTAGTTTCATCTTTTGGTATCTTATTTTTAAAACATAACACTTCCAAGAAAAGAATAAAAAATTTAAATTAATAAAAATACTTCCTTATTACAATATAGGTATTCTATATTTTATTTTTAAATACTCTAGTATTGCTGTTTTTCACATGTAGATCTTAAATCTGGAGTTCATGTTTACTAATCCATCCTCTTTCATTATTTTGAAAGGAATCCTCTATGAAATACCACATTTTGGAGGTTGTTCCTCTGGGCTCTCTATTCTGTTCTGCTGGTGTGTTTGCCCTGTCCAATTCCATGTTAATTCCTATTGCTTTAGAATGAGTGCTAAAATCTGATAGGGCAGTCCTGTCACTTTTTTCTTCAGGAGTCTCTCATCTATCTTTAAGTCTTTACTTTTATAAATATAAATTTTATAATCCAGCTTGTTCAATTCTGTGAAAAACATTTGTTGGATTTTTATTAGAATTGCATTGAATTTTAGATTAATTTGGGTATAATACTGAATTTTACCATCCACAAACATTTATTTAGGTCTTTTATTTCCATCTGTCAATAAAATTTTCTTTCTCCATAAAACAGTTTAGTACATCTTTTGTTGGATTTATTCTTAGGTACTCTGTGGTTTTTGTTGCTTTTATGATGGTATATTTTTAAATCATACTTCCTAATAGGTTGTGATCTGTTTGCAATAATACTTTTTTTAAATGTTAACATTTGATCAGTAACCCTCCACAACTTCCATGGAGATAATCAGTTATGATTCAGTATACTTATGTTTCTTTCTGTTCTTTTCTCATTTTTTCTCCATTGAGTTATTGTACCAACATTTTCTCTGCCATAGTATTTATATGATAACGACCTTGTTCTTGAAAAAGGAAACAAGTTCAATGATTCATGATTAAGCTTTATATATACTTATATAAGCTTTATATATATAGTGTATATATTTATGTATACACTGTAGGTTTTGGAAGATAATCTTAGCCAAAACCAAGGTTTCTCAGCCTCAGCACTATTACATTTTGGGCCAAATGATTCTGTGTCGTTGAATGCTAATCCTGTGCATGGAAGGTGGTTTAAGCAGTGTCCTAGTCTCCCCACATCTATAAAAACCAAAAGTATTGCCATATGTTCCCTTGGGGGACAAAGTCACACCTGATTGAGAATTATTACCCCAAATCAATTAGGAAATTATTTCATATTCTATTTGTTAAAAATGAAAAAGTATTGAATTTATCATAAAAAGATATTGAATTTTATGGGACGCCTGGGTGGCTCAGTTGGTTAAGCAGCTGCCTTCGGCTCAGGTCATGATCCCAGCGTCCTGGGATCGAGTCCCGCATCGGGCTCCTTGCTCAGCAGGGAGCCTGCTTCTCCCTCTGCCTCTGCCTGCCACTCTGTCTGCCTGTGCTTGCTCTCTCTCTCTCTCTCTCTCTGACAAATAAATAAACGAAATCTTTAAAAAAAAAAAAAGATATTGAATTTTAATAAATTTTTCCCATATCTGCTGAGATGTTTTTCCTCCTTTAATCTACTAATAGGAAATAAGTATCATAGTAAATTACATTGTTCTTTTCTAATGTTAATCTGTGGTATAATTTTATTAGCATATTATAGTCCGAAAATTGTGCAAAACTATGATATTTTTCTTCATTTTGTGGAGGGGAAGGAGTGAACATTAAAATAAAACTGTAAAGTTAGTTCCCATGTTAGAAATTGAATTTTAATTGCTATCATTAAAGCTAATTTTACCTATCTTATAATACAGTTTGCCTGCTTTATTAATGGTCTGGTTTTAAATACTCTATTTTGGTGTTTACTCTAGTACTTTGAATAATGAAGTGTTATGTGTATTTTCTTCAAACAGAGAGAAATCACTTGAAATTTATTGATCAATTCATTTAAATATCAAATTAATAAGATGGGATTTGATCAATGCTTTAATAAATAATGTATTTGACTTAAATATATAACAAAGGAGCAGGATTTAATTATTTGTAAGCAGTGGAAAATCAGTGGCAAAATCAAATATAATTACTCATTCAGTTCTGTGTTGTGTAAGCATTATCTACTGCTCATCTTTTGATGGAAATAGGCACTGTCACCTTAAGTCCAGCTGTCATTTTCTTTTAAATATTCTCTTAGAACTATATTTTCATAATCTTTGGACTGAAAGCAATTTTTCTGGTGGTTGTCTTTTAACATTACCATGAAAATGAAACCAAAGAAAAGTGGGAATACTGTGATGATTTTAATAGACTTAAGTTGAATTAGTAATAATAATATCAATAAGAGGTAGAAAAATGACATTTCCAATTGTAGATCATAAGTTGATTGGGTTTAGGTAACAATTCGGGATAAATTTTATAATAAACTATTTTAAAGAATTTTGCCTAGGCCTAAAATAATTTCTCATTTTTTTTCCTCTTACAGTCACGTTCTATATCTAGTTCCCCTGTGATGGTAGCTCAGCCAGTTTATCAGCAACCTGCATATCACTACCAGGTAAACATGAAATTACAAAGAAAATTCTCTTTAATACTCAGTCCTTTTTCAGTAAATTTCGTTGTATTCTTTCTCATGTAGATATTCTCATAATTAAAAAAAGATAGTTAAGCCTTGATAACAATGCTGGGTTTGGTTTTTTTTCTTCTCTTATGGGGAACTAAACAATATTATACAAGAAGATGGCAGGTTTTCTTCATTTAACTAAATGTAATGAGGCCGCTTTTGCTCCCTTGGCTAACATTTAATATAAAAAGTTTTTAAAAACAATTCCCAAAGCAACATATAGATAACATATACCGAATCACAGGCTGATTTTTTAATGTTATTAACATTATGTCACTTTCTTGCTATTGTATTTAACATAATCTGTATTAAAATAAGTAATATATTATGGTTCACATTATGGCAGCCTCTTTTAGTTAACCACACTCTTCATTAATTCTTGTGGGAGACTGGGGATAAAGGAGCCATAATGCCAGACCATTTTGGTGTTTTGTAAATAAAGAATACCTGTTGACATACTGTCTATGACTGCTTTTGTACTATAATGACAGGGTTCAGTAGTTGCAACAGAGATATTATGGTCTGCAAAGCTTAAAATATTTACCCTCTGGCCCTTTAAAGAGTTTGCCAACCTCTCATCTATTATACTCAAAAATCAAATCACATTCTTTCCTACCTCTGGAATTGTGGAAGAGAATTTCTTTCTTTTTTTTTTTCTTTTGAACTTTTAAAATAGACCCAGATTAAATGTTAAGTTTACTGGAATTCTTTTTAATATTAGACTGGATTTTGGGAGGATGGTGGTGTTTAAGTTTTAAATAGAATTTAAGATTTAAACTTACTATTATATATTAATGTATATCATATATTATTATATTACATTATTTATTTGTAATAAATTTGTAAATTCTATTACTATGCTAAATATAAAACTAAAGTATTTCACTTACTAAAAATGAAAATAACTTAATGACATATATTTAAAATATATATATTTAAAATATGTATATTAAAGTAACTTAATGACATATATTTAAAATACATGACTTTCCCTAAGTTACCTCCATATTTTGGCAGAGGCCCCCAAAACAGAACATTAGGTACCAGATCTTTCAATATGACAAGCCAAATATTGTGAAACTAGTTGGGGGATCCTTAGCTAATTGCCCACCTTGAGTACACATGAGGGGAGGATGAGATTGCAAGAAGTTGTTAGAATGCTGTGGCATGTCCCCTTCTTCCCAACCAAGTAAAGACGACATCGGAGAATGACTGAGAAAACTTAATGTTTGTCCCCTGAAATTTGTGAGATGGTACTTGGATCTGACTTCTCCTAAAAAAAAAGGTCCAAAAAGAAAGATCTGGATTTTTGTGGAAGCTGGCGGCAGGGGGAGTAAATTAATTAATTAAAAAGTCCAAAGAGGAAGCTGGGCTAGTTTCCGGAGGCAGAGCCTGGAGAGAAGACTACAGTGAGAATGTGCTGAACTTCTACTCACAACAAGCAAAGGTTTATGTGTCCCAAGAGCAAGATGTGAACCTCACAGAAGAGACCCTTTTCAAAAAAACTTTAAGGAGATCCCAATAAAGGAAGAACCTGTGTGAAGTAGACTTCTGGAATCAATGGCTAGAATTGCAGTTAGAAGTTCTCAGCAGGGTGGGGCACCTGGGTGGCTCAGTCAGTTAAGTGTCCGCCTTCCACTCAGGTCAGGGTGATGGGATCTAACCTTGTGTTAGACTCCCTGCTCAGCAGGAAGTCTGCTTCTCCCTCTCCTTCTGCTGCTCCCCCTCTCGTGCTCTCACTTGTTCTGTCTCTCTCTCTCTCTCTCTCAATAAAGTCTTAAAAAAAAAAAGTTCTCAGCAGAGAGATCACCAAAGAATCCAGTAAACTACCTATCTAGATAGTCAGCATTTGAAATCTGCCACACCCCAAAAAAATGATTTGGCTTAATTTTAATCCTAGGGCAAGGAAAAACAGGTCAACACAGTGCTTTTAAAGTGTCAGGGGATGAGAAAGAGTAGAGCTGCTTTCTGCTTGCCCCCCATTGAGTCCATCTCCTCCTCTTTTAACTGATTACATACAACTATAGCTCATTTGACATACCAAATACATTCTTAAAAGTTTGTAATACAGTTTAATTTTATACTCTGACTCTGGTGTTCTCCTTGACACAAATGATAAGATTGGAAGTATGTTACCTCAATATTACTCAGGAATATTACCAAAATCTTTTTTGGTACCAATTTATAACTATTTTATAATACAAAAAATCATTTCACCTCCCATATTTATCTTCAGATATATATTCATCATTCTGCCTCTTCAATGAAAATCTTCCTTTGTTCTTTTCATAAATTCTAAGATTGGTAGCTTTATCAGTTGTTAGTCAAATCAGGTAATGCATGGTTCAATTAGTACTTATCTCGTATTTCTTACCTCATAAGTAGATAGTTATTTCATTTATCTAAAAACTATGTAAGTCATTTTATTTCCAATTTTTTATTAAAATATTTTCTTAAGAGGTTATTTATTATTCTGCCTTTCTTTTTTCTTAAGATTTTATTTATTTGACAGAGAAATCACAAGTAGGCAGAGAGGCAGGCGGGGTGGGGGGTAAGCAGGCTCTCCGCTGAGCAAAGAGCCCAAAGTGGGGCTCTATCCCTGGACACTGGGATCATGACCTAAGCTGAAGGCAGAGGCTTAACCCACTGAGCCACCCAGATGCCCCTATCCTGCCTTTCTGAATGTAGAATACAGAACATAGACTTCACATTATCTTGGTTATTATAGTACAGTGATGTCATCCGTTAGCAACTTAAATAGCACTAAATTCACAGTGATTCAGTTTAGATGGCAGATCCAGGTATCATCTTACTCTTTTTTTGTTTGTTTTTTTACTTTATAATTAAAAACACTTAATTAAAAATTAACTAAAAATGGGGCGCCTGGGTGGCTCAGTGGATTGGGCTGCTGCCTTCGGCTCAGGTCATAATCTCGGGGTCCTGGGATTGAGCCCCACATCTGCCTCAGCATCCCTGCTGAGCAGAGAGCCTGCTTTCCCCCTCTCTCTCTGCCTGACTGTCTGCCTACTTGTGATCTCTCTCTCTGTCAAATAAATAAATAAAATCTTTTTAAATAAATTAACTACAAATAACTAAAGAATAAAACGTTACTAAGAAATAATACAACTAGTTTAATAAACGTCTGACATAGTGTCATCTTACAGTAAGTTTAAAAAATTTGACCATTTTTTATTTAACAGCTTTTTAATATATAATTCACATAGCATTCAATTCAGCTTTTTAAAATGTGCAATAGTGTTTTTTACTAAATTCAGAGTTGTATAACCATACCACAGTCAGTTTTAGAACATTTTAATCAACCTTCCCCCAAAAAAACCTTACACATTAGTAATCACTCCTCTTTGGAGAAATATCTATTCATATCTTTTACTCTTTTTAAATTTGGGTTACTTGTCTTTTTATTATTGAGTTATAACATTTCTTTATATATTCTAGATGCAAATTCTTTATCAGATATATAATTTGTAAATCTTTTCTCCCATCTTTTGAGTTTATTTTTACTTGATGGTATTCAAGTGCTATTTTGTGGCACAAAAGTTTTTCATTTTGATGAAGTCCAATTTATCTTTTTTCTTTTGTTGCTTTACTGCTTGTGCTTTTCATGTCATAATTTTTTTAATTGCCTAATTCAAACCCACAAAGATTTACACATATTTTCTTCTAAGAATTTTATAGTTCCTGCTCTTACCTTTAGGTCTTTGACCCAATTTGAATTAATTTTTGTATGTAGTTTGAGGTTTAGGGATTCAGCGTCATTCTTTTGCACATAGATATCCAGTTTTGATCTTTGTTTATAATCCGGGTGGGTTTTTTGGTTTTTGTTTTCATTTTAGGCCCCTGCACAGTGTCTACCAGGACAATGGCAGTGGGGTGTTCCTCAGGTAAATATTAACTTTTTTCATAGTGTTTTTGTGAAGACTGAATCAATATTAAATTCAGGAGAACTAGATTTGAGATACTCCTCTTCTATTTAATAACTGTGCTACCTTTGGCAGTTCATTTAATCACTCTATTTCTTAGCTTCCTCACTTGTAAAATGAAAGTAATGATACCATACATTTGTAAATTTCTTTACCTGATCTTGGTGAAGATCACATGAGATCATGTAAGTGAAATCATTCTTTTAAAAAGTGAGTACTTATATAAACATGAAAAATAACTTTTTGCCGTTATGGGAAAATGTATCATTCTTCCGGTTGTACTTCAGATTTTGCTTCAGTTCATTTTTTTTCTTCAGTTTTCTTCTCCTAAGTAAATAAATCATCTCTCAATTTTTGATACAAATAGTACCACCAAAAAGACTATTTAATGACATTTCCCACTTCCATGTGAAGTCACAAAGCTGAGAATAGATGTTTATGCCAACTCAAATACTGTAAGTTATATTATAATCTTTGATAGTGATCTTAATATAACTATTTTCTGAATTTATAAAAGAAGTTCTGAAGCACTAAGAACTTTCAATACTTACCAGTGATAAAGTTCTTTAATCACATCTACACAATTGAAATTTGTAACAAGATACATCTATGCTATCTCTGGTAAAGAACTTCAGGAAAACATGAAATAAATATTTCTGTCATCTGTTGGGTAAGTCATTTGTTTTAATTGAAATAAATAATCATATTTGAATTAGAAATCTGGTTTTGTTTTAGTCTCCTGCCTCGTCTGCTCCATTCTTATACCTGCAGCCTTCTGATGTTATTTATCAACCAGTGGAAATTGCACAAGATGGTGGATGTGTTCCTCCTCCTCTATCTCTGATGGAAGTTCCAGAGGTAGGTATTACTCTCAAGGTAATTTATCTATAACTGTCTCATCTTAACATTTATTTCTTTTTCTTTTCTAAAAATATTTGTTTAAGTGGCGCCTGGGTGGTTCAGTCAATAAGTGTGTCTGCCTTCCGCTCAGGTCATGATCCCAGGGTCCTGGGATTGAGCCCCACATCGGGAAGCCTGCTTCTTCCTCTCCCACTCCCCCTGCTGGTGTTCCCTCTCTCGCTGTCTCTCTCTCTCTCTGTCAAATAAATAAATAAAATCTTAAATAGAATAAAATTAAAATTAAAATAATATTTAAGACCCTCATGGAAGCCGCACATTTTTTCTTTGACTTATTCACGCATTTCCCCTTTTATATGTATCTAAGAATGCTTCATCTTTGACTTTTTTACTAACTAGTTCTGAACAATTTTTAAAACCACTGTTCACTGTACTAGGCTAATCTCTGACTTGATCTCCTTGAAAGAGTAAGACACCAAATGTTTTTCTTTCTTCTGGCTTGCCTGTCAATCTGTATTATTACTAATAGTCTGTCAATTAAAAGCATATAAAAATTCAAAAAATCTTAACTTCTTCCTTCAAATATGTAAATCAAAAGTATTTCATGGGCTACCTGGGTGGCTCTGTCAGTTAAGCATACAACTTTATTTTTTAATTTTTTTTTTATTTTTTTATAAACATATAATGTATTAGCAGCCCCAGGGGTACAGGTCTGTGAATCGCCAGGTTTACATACTTCACAGCACTCACCATAGCACATACCCTCCCCAGTGTCTATAGCCCCATCACCCTCTCCCTACACCCCTCCCCCCAGCCACCCTCAGTTTGTTGTTTTTTTTTTTTAAAGATTTTATTTATTTATTTGACAGACAGAGATCACAAGCAGGCAGAGAGGCAGGCAGAGAGGCAGGCAGAGAGAGAGGGGGAAGCAGGCTCCCCGCTGAGCAGAGAGCCCGATGCGGGGCTCGATCCCAGGACCCCGAGATCATGACCCGAGCTGAAGGCAGCGGCTTAACCCACTGAGCCACACAGGCACCCCCTCAGTTTGTTTTGTGACCTTAAGAGTCTCTTTTAGTTTGTCTCCCTCCCAATCCCATCTTGTTTCATTTATTCTTTTCCTACCCCCCAAACCCCCCATGTTGCATCTCCACTTCCTTGTATCAGGGAGATCATATGATAGTTGTCTTTCTCCGACTGACTTATTTTGCTAAGCATAATACCCCCTAGTTCCATCCATGTCATCGCAAATGGCAAGATTTCATTTCTTTTGATGGCTGCATAGTATTCCATTGTATATACATACCACATCTTCTTTATCCATTCATCTGTTGATGGACATCTAGGTTCTTTCCATAGTTTGGCTATTGTGGACATTGCTGCTATAAACATTCGGGTGCACGTGCCCCTTCAGATCACTATGTTTGTATCTTTAGGGTAAATACCCAGTAGTGCAATTGCTGGATCATAAGGTAGCTCTATTTTCAACTTTTTGAGGAACCTCCATGCTGTTTTCCAGAGTGGTTGCACCATAAACATACAACTTTTGATTTCAGCTAGGTCATGATCTCAGGGTCATGGGATCAAGCCCCACATCGTCGGGTTCTGCGCACAGTCAGAAATCTGCTGGAATTTCTCTCCCTCTGCCCTTCCCCCCAACATAAATAAATAAATCTTTTAAAAAATACTTAATAACTAAACATTATAAATGTTATTTTCAGTGTCTTTATGTTCCCAAACCATTACTTACCTTACCATCTTTGTGCCAAGAACTGTAAAGGTATGTTTTAAGTCAGTGTTGTAAAAAATTAGAAAATTAGCACCCACCTCCCAATTAGAATGTATTATAATATTTTTTATATTGCTAAGGTTTATAACATTATGATATTCTGGAACAATAATTTCCACAGTTGGATCTTAATGTTACTATCACTACTTCTACCAGGATTTCTGTTTTCCTCTCACCCTTCACTCATCATTTGCTTGACTGAATCTGCAAAGTACTCTTTGTTAAAGAAAACTTGTGGGTGCTATATTCTCTGAGTTCTTTCATGCCTCTTTGTTCAACATTGTTGTCTATAAATCTGAAAGACAGTTACACTAGCTATAAAATAGCTACATCATACTGCCAAAACAAAGTGCCACAAACTAGGTGGCTTAAACAACAGACATTTATTGTCTCACAGTTCTAGAGACCAGAAGTTGAAGATCAAGGTATTGGCAGGATTGATTCCATCTGAGGGCCATGAGGGAAGCATTTATTTCGGGCCTCTCTTCTTAGCTTATAGATGGCCATCTTCTCCCTGTGTCTTCACTTTATTTTTCTATCTCTATGTCCAAATTTCTCAATTTTGTAAGGATAGTAGTCATCATACTAGATTAGCTTCTACCCTAATGACCATATTTAACTTGATTAACTCTGCAAATTCCCTGTCTACAAATCAGGTCACATTCTGATATACTCAAGGTTAGAACTTCAAAATATGTTTTGAGGGAACCAAATTCAACTCTTAACAGTACTATTTTTTTATAGAACATCTAGTCTACTCTTTTCTGGTGTTGAGTATAGCCAGAAAGAAGATTGAAGCCAGCCTTATTTTTCCCCCTGAACATAATTTGCTTTTTCTTTCTGCATGCCTTTTGATGGGAGGTGCATTGTTGTTGTTGTTGTTAAGATTTTACTTATTTGAGAGAGAGAGAGCAGGGGAAAGAGCAGAAGGAGAAAGACCAGCAAATTCTGTGCTGAGCTCAGAGCCTGACATGGGGCTCAGTCTCACAATCTTGAGATCATGACCTGAGCTGAAATCAAGAGTTGAGTTAACCCACTGAGCCTCCCAGGCACCTCATGAGGTGTGTTCTTAGTTGTCTTTGCATATACTATTCCCACCTTCTTTCTCTTAATTTTTCAAATCCAAGCATCAACTCCACAAGAAAACTTTTTCTGACTGCCTCCCCAATTTTCTTAAGCTAAATCAAGTAGTTCTTTTCTTTTCTTCTATATATGTTTCATAGGACTTAGAGTAATTTTGACGATTCAACTGTCCCTGGTCAATATATAAATTAATTAAAGATAGAATGTGTTTTTCATTTGTGTTCCTCCATTGTGTAGCAAAATGCCTAGTACATTGCAACAATGAATAAAAACTTTGAATTAATAAATAAAAGGTAACACAGGTTTGTTTTGTTTTTTTTTTGTAACAGCCTTATTCTGATCATGGCGTTCAAGCAACATATCACCAGGTTTATGCTCCAAGTGCCATTGCTATGCCTGCACCTGTGATGCAGCCTGAACCAATTAAAGTAAGAAGTTTGTTCTGATTTTTTTATTATTTTTTCAGTCATATTTCAGGCTTTTCAAATTTATTTTCTGAAAAGAAATAATGTTGGATACTTATATCACATTTGTGATCAAAACTGAATTAGTGAACTCTTTCATGTGGAGAGCATACAATTCTAAATTAACTATAACTTTTACAGTTAGTTTTGCATAAGTTATAAATCACACATGGTCAAAAATGTTTTATTTACTGTAATAAAATATATATAACTTATAATTTGCCATTTTTAAGTGTATACCTAAGTGGTATTAATTACATCCATGTGCTGTGCAACCATTACCACTGTTTCCACACTTATGCCTTAGCACAAAAAGAAAATCTGTACCCATCAAGCAATAACTTACCATTCTTTTCTCCCTACCAGTCCCTGGTACTCTCTAATCAACATTTTATCTCATTGAATTTGCCTTGATAGTTCATATACTCAGATTTTGGTTTTGTTAATGGCATATAGTATTTATGGGAAGATGAAATCGAGTTGACAGTCTACTCTTTCAGTTTGGGAATTGTGCTTACGCATCCTAAATCAGATGCAGGCCAAAGAGTGGGAATCCAGTTAGATCCATGTATATATTCAATATATTTCAACTCTTGGCTGTGTAGCAGGGAATTCTGCTTATTCCCTTATTACCTAGTTTCTTAGTGAAACTCTTCATCATTACTTGCAGGAAATGGACTATATCTGTAAGAACCACAGATTGATTAACTATTGTGATGGTAATATGAATCTTGTTTACAGTGTACTTTGGTAAAGAAAGTAGGCATACTCTACAATAAAATGATAGAGATTAACTATTTCACACGCATATTTATTTATGTATTGGAACTCAGTACCAAGACAGTCTACTTTAAGAAGCCCCCCCCAATATCCCTTCATCCCGTTACCACTCACTGCATTCCTTCACTGCTATTACCACCAGTAATGAAATAAAACTATAATTCAACCTAGTGTCACAGCCTCGAGTGTTCCTAAACTTTATCTATAGAGAACTATTATAGTATCAAAATCTTCTAAAACGGACTTCCTCTGATGTTAACATTTTTTCCAAATATACTTCTCTAAAGATAGTTGAAAGAGTTTTGCCATATTAAATAAGTACTAGTTTTTCCAGTTACTGATTATATAGATCATATATATAAACACAAATGATTGAAGTTGTACTGCTTGAATAATTCCAATAGAGGATGAAGTGGTAATGAGTGGTACTTCGATAGGAAAAATTTTCAAATAACGTTAATGCTACACATTCTTAATTTAAGGTTTAATTCCTCTAGTTTAAGAGTAAACACTTTTCTATATTTTCTTAGATCTATGAGTAGAAAATGTCAGAAATTATACTGAGAAACTGCTATCTTACTCTTTAATTTAGCCATATAGAAAGTACACATATGTTGACTATAAATTATAACAGAGGCATAAATAGGTATCTTTGTACATATAAGCTTACAACTGGAACCAATAAATTGCCTCTAGATGTCTAGAGAAATGCTGCTAAAAGGGACTTCACCCCTTCTGTCCTGATACAGATCTTTACTCTACCATGCCACAAACCAAAAGGGAACAAAAGTACTGACTTGTTTCAATTTGGAATTTAATTTGTCTCATTAAGCATTATAATAATTCTGGTTATCACATGGGATATATCCTAGGGAATATTTTAGTCCTACCCAAGTTAAGATTTAAGGAATAGGGAAGAGTTGAAGAGCTATGAACTATACTTAACTAGCTTACTCTGAAGCTCATCATGTCTCTCACAATCATAATATGAGATTTCATTGAATCTGCAAAATCATGGATTATAAGACACACCATTATTTATCACTATAAAAGAAAAAAACATCACCATCAATTGTAAATGTATCCCTATTTAGTGGTTTTGAAATATTAAAAAAGTATATCTCAACATGAGTGAAATTTAACATTTTATTTTTAATTTAGAGATGTAATGTTGAGGGGATAGGGGGATAAAACAAGTCCTCTTTTGTTAGAGATGAGAAAAAAAATTTTAATAAACTTTCAAAGTCAAAACTGGAACACAGGGCTATTGTATAGAGTTTTATATTCCCTGTTTTTGTTTTTATTTTTGTTTTTGTTTTAAGATCAATGTCCTATGTATTTTTTTTAAGATTTTATTTATTTGACAGAGATCACAAGTAAGCAGAGAGGCAGGCTGGGGGAGAGGAGGGGTGGGGGGGGGGTGAGGGGTAACAGGCTCCCTGCTGAGCAGAGAGCCCCATGTGGGGCTTAATCCCAGGACCCTGGGATTATGACCTGAGCCGAAGGTAGAGGCTTAAACCACTGAGACAACCAGGCACCCTGTCCTATATATTTTATACTCAGTAACTTTTTTAGGTGATTTGAAGGCCCTCAACAGGAAATGCTACCCTACTCAGGGACAGAAACTCTAAAACCACGTCTATAGTTTTCTAAAACTATATAACTCTGGGGAAATGCTTTAATATACCAAGTTTCGCTGTGTGGAAAATTATCTACTTTTGTTTATAGTACGTTTGTATTATAACATAGAAGTCTTAATACATAACTATTATATCATTAGGAGATGATCTTTTCTCTAAAATATATTAAAGTAGACTAATATTAAAATATTGACATTTGAAACATTAGCCTTTGTTCTTACTATGCAGATTTTCCCTGATCCCAAATACCTTGGTGAGTTAAAACAGAAAGGTGGAAATATTCCTTAGGATAATCTGAGCCTGTTGTTTTTATAAGTATATGTCATTTTTTAAACTCTAATGATTATAATTTAAGGGTATTAACTGTATATTTTCCAGAGTAAGTAATTTCTGATGCCAAAACTATCGTGAAGCATCAAATCTAATCAATAAAATAGAGACTTTATTCAGAGCTCAGAGCACAAGTCTAACTACTGTAAAAGACTGCCAGAAACTATTCATTGACTGTAAGGTACACACTACTATATTCTGTCAGATCAACTACATATATTGTAAAGCTGACCAATATAGAAACTACTACATGAATATGGTATTAATTAGAGTATCATTTTTTTTAATTCAGCAGAGTCCCATCTTAAATAGAACTAGGTTTTGAAGTCAAGAAAGCAAAATCACAGAATCATAAAATTAGCCCATTGAGTTAGACTACAGGAAGGAACAAAAGGAAAATCTCTGTTTATCTGGGCATTTGAAGATCAGTATCAAATCCCTAGGTAAGAAGGGTAGAAGTAGAAAATTCTAAAGTATTTGTTTTACAGTGTTTTTCCATTTTTGCATTAATACAAGTATCTAATAAATTCATTCTTATGAGAATTAACTGAGATACTGGAGACTGGGGAAATTATAATTTGAAGTTAGCCTTTAAGTTAAATGTTCATTTTATGAACTCTTACATTTGCAACAACATGGATGGAACTAAAGGGTATTATGCTAAGTGAAATAAGTCAATCAGAGAAAGACAATTATCACATGATCTCACTCATATGTGGAATTTAAGAAACAAAACAGAGGATCATGGGGAAGAGAGGGAAAAAATAAACAAGATGAAATTAGAGAGGGAGACAAACCATAAAAGATTCTTAATCACAGGAAATAAACTGAGGGTTGCTGGAGGGGAAGGAGGTGGGGGATGGACTTACTGGGTGATGGACGTCAAGGAGGGCACATGATATCATGAGCACTGGCTATTATATAAGACTAACAAGTCACTGATCTCTACCTCTGAAACCAATAATACATTGTGTGTTAATTGAATTTAAATAAAAAATAATATAAATAAAAATGAAAACATTAAATGTTCATTTTTTAACTCCAATATAGAATAGCTTTCATGAAAATATTTTATATTCAGAATAATATTTAACTACTTTCCAGGCTATAAAGAATTTCTTCTAATTAAAGCACCAATTGGACTTGAATGAAAAGCACAGCTATTTACCTATTACATCTTACCCTTTAGAAGGACACTGTGATTCAGAAGTAAATTAGAAAAGGATTTGGCCTGTTCTCTTTCTAGCTCAGAGACCCATTGTGTCTAAACTAAAAATCAAAGACAGTTTACTTTACAGAAACATTCTACTACTATCTTCTTCCTAACCATTTCCTCATTTCAGTATCATTAACACTTCTTTTTTTTTTTTTTTAAAGATTTTATTTATTTATTTGACAGAGATCACAAGTAGGCAGAGAGGCAGGCAGAGAGAGAGGAAGAAGCAGGCTCCCTGCGGAGCAGAGAGCCCGATGCGGGACTCCATCCCAGGACCCTGAGATCATGACCCGAGCCGAAGGCAGCGGCCTAACCCACTGAGCCACCCAGGCCCCCCCATTAACACTTCTTATAAAGCAATTTAGAGACTAAAATTCCCACACATTCAGCAAGTCCTCAGAGTAGAGGACAACAAATGAAAAGCACTGCATTCTAGAGGACAGAGACAGGAAAAATCTGTTGCCTTGCAGCTCTGGGCATACAGGAGGATAAAAATTTTCATTCATTGTACATGTCAAACTATAGATAGTCTCAGATTCTATGGAATAAATTATTTTATTCAATAGAGAACTTGGCAGTAGGAGCAAAAAAGCTCATTGAGCTAAGCAGTAGAAATTGCATAGGTTCTGTGTGTATCAAACCTCTTTCTTACTATAAACATAAGACAGAGGATGGGGATAGTAAGAGGAATCAAGAATTCACAAAACTTTTAGAATTGTCATGGACAGATCTCCATTTAAGGATAGGCTAAACAGTAAAGTATACACTGTATAGGTCCCATGAAAATATTTTTTTAAAGATTTTATTTATTTATTTGACACGGAGAGACAGAGATCACAAGTAGGTGGAGAGGCAGGCAGAGAGAGAGAAGCAGGCTCCCCTCTGAGCAGAGAGCCCGATGTGGAGCTCGATCGCAGGACCCTGAGATCATGACCTGAGCCGAAGGCAGAGGCTTAACCCACTGAGCCACCCAGGTGCCCCCCATGAAAATATTTTTG